TGGAGGACACAAAAGACTTAGAGGCTAGTTTTAATTGCAGCACCTGCCCCCTCTTTTTTTTTTTTTTTTTTTAAGTTTTTATTGTGAATTAAGTGATAGCTTACATGGAGAACATCAGTTTTACACTCATGCTTACAATTGCAATGATTACAATTCTCCTTTGTGAATCACCATTCAACAATATTTGCTTCCATTCCATTTTTTCTTTGGTTTTTGTATTTTGGGGGTGGGTGGGTGTACACAAAAACACTCAGGAAAATATAATAATTTAAACAACCAAAGGACACATTCTGCAAGCCTGCCTCCTGGCCACCAGCTCGCAGTCCCTCTCTTTCCATGAATCTAGAGTCCTCAGCTGCTCCCTCTCTCCACATCCCCATCTCTGCCTCCATTTGTGGTGTCGATGCTTCTCTGGATAGGGTTTCACATTCCGTTTGTGCTCTTCTCCCTTGATAGTCCGGGGGTCCTCTGTTCCCACCTTAAGGAACCCTGGTGGTGAAATAGTGAAGTGCTCCAATGCTAACCTAAAGTGGTTCGTTTGAACCCACCAGCTGATCCATGGGAAAAAGATGTGGCAGCCTGTTCCCCTAAAGATTCATAGCTTTAGAAACCGTGTAAGGCTGTTCCACTCTGTCCTATAGGCTTGCTGTAACTCAGAATGGCCATTTGTTTATCTGATCCATTTAGGAAGTCCTTTATGATTTCACTGTGCCTCCATTTCCCCATGGAGTTGGGAAAATGGGTTATCTGAGAGCAACAGTATCTAAATACCTATTCTGATTCCAAAAGTATTATTAACAATGCAAGTGAAAACATGACATCTTGATATTTAGAAAGATGTCATATGGATTAAGATTCTTCTTATAACCAGGTTTCAAAATACACAATCAGGTCTTAAGTTCAACAGACACCATTGAATATCTGATCTCTATAACTCCTAAGAATCCTAGTTTGGCAATGTAGGAAAAGCACTGTGCTGCTAACCACAAGGTCAGCGGGTCAAATCCACCAGGCCCTCCTTGGAAAACCTATACAGCTGGAACCAGCTCAATGACATTTAAATAATAACCAACAACACTAACCTAAAAGTTGGTGGTTTGAACCCATTTGGAAGGACCTCGGAAGGATGTCTGGTGATCTGCTTTGGAATTCTGGTGTGGCGCTTTAGGATAAGCACTGTGAACCACAAGGTCGGTGATTCAAACACACCTACTGCTCCTGGGTGGAAACTGTACAGTGTCACTATGAATCAGAATTGGCTCAATGGCACTTAACCAGAACAACCCCAAAAATATTGGCTATTTTTTTGTTCTAACTTCTAGTTTTCCAGTCTGCAAGGCACATTCACACATACATCATTTAATCATTTTAACAACCCTACTAAGGGTCAGAAAGTTAAAGTAAGGATTTTGCCCAAGGTGACATTATCAGTAAAGTCCAAGGTTTTTGCATTTTTCTTTTATACACACCTGAAGTACAAAGGAATCACTCACTTTCTACCCTAATAACTTAAAGAAAACTATGATCCCTTCTGGGCCCCTCAAAGACACAACACCTACACTAGGCACCTTGGTGTTCCACATGAAACCGAAAAGCTTTTGATGCTTTTAAAATTAGCCTTTCTTTCTATTTTGTTTTTAATTACCCTTTGTAGTAAGGCAGATTTAGCACATGCAGCTAACATAATTGACTAAGAAGTGGTTCTACTTATTACAGTAAAAACCATAGACAGCTGGTGAAGTTTTCAGGTCTTCAAAGGTAATCAGTGAGTGTATTTCTTAAGAACGCCCCACCCCTGTCACAAACTTGTTTATTTTACAAAATGATTCACCATGAGATTTCTTTAAGTAACCAACTAATCTAAAAACCACTTATACATAAGCAAGTCATGTACACCAAACCAAACCCTACAATCCAGGCTGTATTCTTTACAAAAGCAGATCATCACAGTAGCTGGTGGGTACGAACCACCAACCCTTCAGTCAGCAGCTGAGTTTTTAACCAGGGATCCTTAAAGTGGTTGTTGAGGCAGTTCCAGTAAATATATCATACATACTATGTTGTTGTTAAGTGCTGTCGAGTCAGTTCCAACCCGACTTACAGGGCTTACGAGGGGTGGCTGGTGAGCTTGAGCCACCAACCTTGTGGTTCAAACCGACTTTGCAGCCCAGTGCATTAACCTGCAGTGCCACACCAGAACTTCTTCCCACCCACAGAGACTCTGTATAGGGTTTCCGAGGAGGAGTGGTGGGTTTGAACTGCCAATCTTGTGGTTAGCAATCCAGTGCTTACCCTACAGTGCCACACTAGGACAAATCATAAAATATATTATGTCCTTTTATAAATGAAGAAACTGAAATCTAGAAAGGATGAGTGCCTGGATCAAAATCAAATGTTGTTGTTAAGTGCCATCAAACTGGTTCTGACCCATAGCGATCCTGTATAGGGTTTCCAAGGAGCAACTGGTGAGCTTGAACCACTGACCTTGTGAGGTAGTTGATATAAAAAACATGCTAAACTAAACATCACAATGGGAGGACCAAAATTCAGGCTTGGAATTTTCAGCCTACACTGTTTCCACTACCATGCGATACTTCTTATCAAGTCAGGAGGGGTCCTTATCCCTCCTTTCTACAGCTCAATGAGGAAGACTGGCTCTGAAATTCCCAAGTGACAGGAAAGATGTGAAAGGGAAAGAAGCCAGGCTCTCTATGACTATTAGACTGAAACATGGTTTTGGTGTCATCTATCGGTGCTTTGATGCTAATGGCACTGTGGCACACAGGTTAATGAGCTGGACTGCAAGGTTGGTTTAAACCACAAGGTCGGTGGTTCAAGTTGACTCCTCATAAACCCTGTACAATAAAAACATCGGCTATTATTAAGTTAAAAGGGGGAATGCTAGCGGAGGGCACAAAGTAAAGGGAGTCAGCCTGGTGACCAAGGTTTCACTTCTGATCCTGCTAACCCACCCATGAGCAAGTCATTTTGATCCTTTAGGTCTTAGTTCCTTCCTTCCTTCATTCACTAATAATCCTCTATTGAGCACCCACTATTTGCCAGGCACTATTATAGGTGAATAAGGAAGACCATAGAAGAATTGATGCTTTTGAGTCATGGTGTTAGAGGAAAATATTGAAAGTGCATACATAGGCTGCCAAAAGAATCAATAGGTCTGTGTTGGAAGAAGTGCAGCCAGAGTGCTCCTTGGAAGCCAGGATGGCCAAACTCCATCTCTCAAACTTCAGACATAGTGTCAGGAGGGACCAGTCGTTGGAGAAGGATATCATGTTTGGTAAGGTGGAGGGTCAGAGAAAAAGAGGAAAACCCCCAGTAAGATGGCTTGGCAAAGTGGCAGCATTAATGGGCTCAAGCGTGGCAACAATAGTGAGGTTGGCCCAGGATTGGGCAGTGTTTCGTTGTGCTGTGCATAAAGTCGCTATGTGTGGGTACCGACTCGATGGCACCTAACAACAACAACAACAATTTAGGTGCTGGGAATATGACAGGATAAAAAAACAAAGACAATTTCTACTTTCAATGAGCTTACAGTGTAGTTGGAGTGATGCAATGAAGATGATAAACAAACACATTATGCAAATTAAGGAGTCCTGGTGTGGTACTGTAGGATAAGTACTGGAACACAAGGCTGGTGGTTCAAACTTGCCCGTCACTCCTTGGATAACCTATCTAGGGTAACTATGAGTCAGAACCAACTCAATGGCACTCAACAACATGTAAATTAAGAATATAGCAGCCATTAGCCTCAGAGAGTGGAGTCCTGGTGTGACGCTGTAAGATAAAGCACTGGATCGCAAGGTGGGTTTGAACCTCAAGGTCAGTAGTTCAAACTCACCAGCCACTCCTCAAAAACCCTATACAGAGTTGCTAAGAGTCGGAACTGACTTGACAGCATTTAACAAGTCTCATATAGGGAACAAGGTGGCTCTCTAAGGTAAGAGTGGACTGTGTCCCACAAAGTCGGCAGTTCAAGTCTACCAGCCATTCCATGTGAGGAGGCAGCTTTCTGTTCCCAAAAGGATTTACAGTCTCGGGAACCCTACACAGGATCACTGAGTAGGAACTGACTCAACATCACTTAACAACAAAAAACAGAGAATTTTTTTTTAAATTTAAAATTCAATTCCTCTGCTTCACTAACCATGTATCACGTGTTCAACAGTCACATGTGGTAACTGCTACCGCTCTGGAGAATGTAATATGGATCATTTCCATCTTCACAGAGCTTTATCTGATAGTGCTCAGATACAATGACGGGGAACGGGAGCTATTTTAGATGGGTGGCGAAGTCTCTCCAATAAACAACATGCTGTTTCAACAGACAGCTCAACAAAATGAGGGAGTGGGCCAAGTGTTGGTCTGAGGGAAGATCTAAGCAAAAGGAAATTGTTCATCTAGATACCATATCACTTGAGGTCCCTTTCAACACTAAAACTTGTATTCAAAGTTATTCAGAAAATGGTCTGAGGTTTTAATTTTATAAGAATGAAACATGTTAAAAAATGCCATGCTTTTTGTTTTGCAAAAGCAATGCACCCATGTAGTGCTGATTCCCTATGTAAAAGTATATCCCAAAGACACACAGGGAGAAGCAAGAAATTAGGTAACATCTTTCATTTACTTTTTTAATATCACACAACCTGAGTATTTTGAACTTTCTAAGCTACATTTCCTTCTGACAAATGCTACCCCAAAGGCTTTTGTTAAGTCCTTTCTTGAAAGGTAAATTCCCCCTGCCCAAATCCTTTGCATGTCTCATAATTTATTAGCTTCATTTAATCCCATACTGAGAACTAAAGATATTTTTTCAGTGACACTTAAGCACACAGATTATAACCTGGTATTCTCAAAGTCATTATTTTTACTTCTGAATTACCTTTCAAATAGTGTTGCAAAATGTCTGCTAGATCTGTAAAGTAACACACAAACGTGAAGCAATAAGAGTATGTATGATATTACCAAGTACTATGCTCACCATTTCATATTTTAAATCCCAGGGCTCTCATGCACTCCTTGTGAGCCTCAATTAGATGTCCACAGTGCTCTTCTCCTTTCTCGATGATGCTTAAAAACAAAATTTACTCGTCACTTAACAAAGTAGGCATTAAGTACTTGACTAAAGAAGTATGCACAATATACTTATTTAGTGGCTAGTGGTTATGTGCCGTGGAGTCGGTTCTGACTCATAGCAACCCTGAACAGGGTTTCCGAGGCTGTGAATCTTTACGGGAGCAGAAAGCCTCATTTTTCTCCTGTGGAACAGCTGGTAGTTTCGACTGCTGACCTTAAGGTTCACAGCCCGATTTGTAACCACTACGCTACCAGAGCGCCTTATATTTATTTAGTATATATACAAGGGTGAAACAGACAGAACATGAGTATGCTGGAATATAGCAGGAATTACTGCTGGTCCATAGCCAAGGTATAACACTGTTCAACGACACTTAACAATATAGTGAAATAAAAGATGACCTGGTAGTGTCGTGGGTTACTGAAGGACCCCCGCTCCTGATCAACAAAATGGCATTGCAGCTGCTCCCAAGTGGACCTGAATAAAGTCCTGCTTAAGCTCAGGTCTCCTGAAAGCTTAAGTCTTTATTACACCAAGAGACCCTCCCCCCAGTAGTTTCAGGTTTCAGGAAAATCTCCATAACCACACCCACTGAAAGCTTGCCTTAAATATGCCAGTCTGTAAGGGACAGGGGAGCTCTAAGTTCCCCTCCCAGGTTTACTCTCAATAAACCTGCCCACTGTTGAAGCCAAGTTTCTCTCCTTGTCTCACTAACTGGGCTGCTAACACAAGGTCAGCAGTTCAAATCTACCAGTACCTCTGAGGGAGAAAGATGAGGGTTTCTGCTCCCACAAAGAGTTACAGCCTTGGAAACCCTTTACAGGATTGCTATGAATCAAAACCGACTCTACAACACACACCTATCAGCACAATGAAATAAGGAGTCTTGGTGTAGTATTGTATAATAAGCACTGGACTACTAACCACAAGGTTGAATATTCAAACCCACCAGCCACTCCTTAGAAACCCTATACATGGATGCTATGAGCCAGACCCGACTTGACAGAACTTAAGAACAATAATGAAATAAAGAAGTTCTGGTATGGCGCTGCAGAATAAACACGGGGCTGCTAACTGAATGGGTGGCGATTAAAACCAACAAGCCGTTCCCTGGAACCCTATATAGGGTCCCTATGAGTCAGAATCATCTTGACAGCACTTAATACCAACATAATGAAATAAGAAGCTCCTTGATGGCACAGTGAATTATGCATTGACTGCTAACCTCAGAGTTGGAGTTCAAATCTACCTGCCTCTCCATGGAAGAACGATGAGGCTCAGAAACTCTATGAACTATTTTACTGTCCTATAGGGTTGCTGAGGAGCCCTGGAAGCATAGGGGTTATGTGTTGGGCTGCTAACTAAAAAGTCAGCAGTTTGAATCTACCAGCTACTCAAAGGGAGAAAGATTTAATGCCTCAGAAACCCTATTCAGGGTTTCCTAAACTTAACAACATAGGGTTGTTATGGGAGTGTTGTGGCTCCATTGATTAGATAAGCACTGGACATCAGACACAAGGTCAGAGGTTCAAGTCCACCAACCTCTCCACAGAAGATAAGGCTTCTTTGCTCCCTCAAAGATTTAAAAGCCTCATAAACCCTATATAGGGTCGCTATGAGTCAGAATCGACTTGAAGACACATAACAACAAATAAGGTTGTTATGAGTCAAAATGGACTCAACGGCTGTGTTGTTGTTGTTAAGTGCCATTGAGTCGGCTCTGACTCATAGGAACCCTGTATAGAGTCTCCGAAGAGCAGCTGAAGAAGGGGTTGAACTGCTGACCTTGTGATTTACAGTCCAGTGCTAACCCTACCACGCCACACCAAGAGTCCCAGTCGCAGTAGCCAGGTGAAATAAACTGACCGAATAAAACACATTAATGCAATAAGTTCTCCCTTCTATTGTGCTCAACTACTAACCAAAAGTTTGGAAGTTCACAAATACCCAAAGGTGCCTTGCTGGCTCACTACCTGTGAAAAGTCAGTCACTGAAAGCCCTATAGAGTAATTCTACTCTGACACACATGGAGTTGCCAGGAGTCAGAGCCCAACTCTACAGCAGCGGGTTGTTGCTGTTGTTAAGTGCCGCCCAGTCGGTTCTGACTCACAACACTGTGTGAGATTTCCAAGGAGCAGCTGGTAGGTTTGAACGGCCAACCTAGTGATTCAAACCAACCTTTCGGTCCACCAGCAGCTGGTACTGGTTTCTAAATCCTACCCATCCTTTGATAGTTAGCTCAAGAAAAAATTGCCTGAAAATGGGAGAAACTGTGCAAGTGAGTGCCCAGGGAATAGTTCACATTCACTGAATGAATGCCTGGTACTGTGCCAGGCACTTAATGGTGCTTTATCATTAGCTCTCAGTTCAGCAGACAGCTTTATTACATCCATTTAACAATCAGGTAACACAGGCAATATTATTTGCTCAAGGTCACCACCTGGGTTAAACCTGACTCTATATATTCCAGGCTCTTAATTTTGGAAGACCGCTAACAAGATGGATTGGCCAAGTGGCAGCATAGTTGGGCTCAAGTGTGGCAACAGTACATGAGGTTGGCCCAGGATCGGGCAGTGTTTCATTGTGCTGTGCATAAGATCAATATGGCTTGGTACCAACTCGATGGCACCTAACAACAACAAACAATTTCAGAAGACTCGTCCTGGTGTGGCGCTGTGGGTTAATGCGCCAGACTGTAACGTCGTTTGACCTGCAAGGTCGGTGGTTCAAGATCACCAGCTGCTCCTCAGAAACCCTAACAGGGTCGCTATGGGTCAGAACCGAATCAACGGCACTTAACAACAATTTCAGAAGGTTCAATAAGTATGTTACTATGAGGCAAGTTCAGTATCATATAGTCTCTTAATTCTCCCTTCACAGATTTTTTTGCAAAATAGTAAGTAAGCCACAATTTCTAATGTGAGGATAAAAAGGGGTCAAAGGGTCTAGGTGTACATTTATGTCTTCTGAAGATTTTGTTCCACATGTGTGGGTTAAGTACCTAACTCACTGACCCTATATACGGTTCTGGAGACTGGAAATCTTAGCAGGGGCAGAAAGCCTCATCTTTCTCCCGCTGAGCAGCTGGTGGGCTCCAACCGAGCCTGTATAAATGAAAACTAAACCTTTTGATAGATTGATGATAACCTACATGTACTATTCTGTATACTACATCATCTCCCAAATCCTAGACTGGTTGATTTTTAAATCAGCAGCCTTTAAAGACAATCCCCCTAACTAGGAACTGTAAGGAATGCCCCATGTCCTACTACGTTAAACATTTCCAGAACTGTTTACTCCAGAAACAAACCTTACTACGCGATATGTTAAGTGCTTTCCAGTCGACTACGACTCACAGCGACCCTGATATAGGGTTTCCGAGGAGCAGCTGGTGGGTTTGAACCGCCAACCATGCGGCTACCAGTCCAACGCTGACCCTACAGCGCCACACCAGGAGTCCCAATGGTAACATGTCTCCGTTAATTTTGAGATCCTTTCCAGCACATTATCATCACTATCATTTCTAAACTTTTAGACCTTGATGCAGTGCTTGACACAAACCTGATACCTCAGAAACTTTACAGAAAGGAGTGAGTGAAATGAGTCTCACCAGTCTCCTCTACCCTTACCCAAGTAGTATAATCAAGTTGTAGAATCAACTGCGCGGCCCACTGGACCCTATATAACTCTCTCGGGAGAGCACCGCACACCAAGCGAGGGCTATGAGCGACACCGCAACTCCGGACCCACGCCGCGCGGGGTTGCCGCCGGCCGCCCCCTCCCCGGCTGCGCACTGACCACGCATCGCGTGCCTTCTTGGTCTCTGGGCAGGCGCAGCAGGGCCTCAGCGGCTTCTTCTCCTGCGACTCGGACGGAGCTGGGCTTGCGGCCGCGAGACCTGGCATCTTTGGCGCGGAAAGCAGCTACCAGAACAAACCAGAAAAACACATTAAACTCTCCAAATGTCGGCAAGTGCCATCACTTCCGCCAGTCGCGGTATAAAGGACAGGAAGTCCTGACTCTCACACCGGTGAAGGAGAAAGATCAAGAGCGCGTGCGCAATACAAGGCAGCCCTTCTGCGCGTGTGTGGTGGCGGATATGTGCGGTGGAGTCGTTTCTGACTCATAGACCCTGTATAGGGTTTCCGAGGGTGTAAATCTTTACGGGAGCAGAAAGCTTCATCTTTTTCCCGCGGACTGAGAAGTTGCAGTCCGATTTGTAACCACTACGCTACCAGACCTGGTAAAAGGTCACGTTTACTTGTAAACCAACCTAGAGGGTTCTGAAAGGATGAGAACAGAAAGGCCTATCAGAGTTCATTTCCAAAACGGCCCCTTAGAAACGCACAAAGGTCGACACTGAAGCTCAAGGAAGTGAAATGACTTAGCTAAATGAGAAAAGCATTAGTAAATGTCCCTTACCCTGAAGGATATGCTGAGTGAAATCGTCAATCACAAAAGGACAAACATTGTATGAGCCTGTCATAGAAGCGTGCTCTTGAAGCCGTGCCTGAGGTTCCCTTGAGTAAATATATTTATTTCATGCTAGAACATTATCCACCTACTTCACCTCCAGCTTTCATCTTTCAGTGACTTTGATAAAAGTAAGTAGCAAAGGCATTTGAACAACCCACAGTGTTGGGGGAGAAAAAGGGCCTCTTCCCCCATACACTTTAAATTGTCAGCTAATTTGCATTTATAGCCCTTACTGTATTTACTGTGAAGGAACCCAAAAGAATTAGGAGACGTTTCATCTGAAGATGCAACCAAGGCACCGTTTTTCTTTCTTTCTTTCTGTTTACTGCTTATTTCTGAGCAGACAGAAAAGGCAGCTATCTCAGGAAGCCTGCAGGCTCCCTTTCTGTGCTCCTAGGAGGAACATTCACTCTGGCTGGCCCTGAGTATACATAGAATAAAATGTCCATATAATAAGGCTCAAAGGAGCTTTGGTTGAGTTGTTGTTGTTAAGTACCATGGAGTCGGCTTCGACTCATAGTGACCCTACACAGGATTTCCAAGGCTGTAAATCTTTACGGGAGCAGAACGCCTCATCTTTCTCCCGCGGAACAGCTGGTAGTTTCGAACTGCCGACCTTAAGGTTAGTAGCCCGATTCGTAACCACTACGCTACCAGAGTGGTTACCAATTGGGCTGCTAACCTCAGGGTCAGCAGTTCGAAACTACCAGCTGTTCCGCGGGAGAAAGATGAGGCTCCATGGCACACAACAGCAACAACATAGTAAGGCTTGCCCTGAATAGACATCGAATAAGATTAATACAATTTTGCTTTCTGGAAGCTTGTTGTTAAGTGTCCTGGAGTCAGGCTCCAATTCATGTTGTTAAGTACTCATGTTAAATACCGTGGAGTCGTTTCTGACTCATGGTGACCCCGCACAGGGTTTCTGAGGCTGTAAATCTTTATGGGAGCAGAATGCCTCATCTTGCTCTCGCGGAACCACTGGTAGTTTCAAACTGCTGACTTTCAGGTTGGCAGCCTGTCTCTTAACCACTATGCTACCAGAGCTCCTTAGGTTCCAACTCATCGTGACCCTTTAAAGGACTTCCAAGGAGCGACTGGTGGTTTTTAACCACTGACCCGTGGTTCTCATTCCAGTGCTTAAACTATGCTGCCACACCAGAACTCTGTTGTTGTTGTTAAGTGCTGCTCAAAGTTAAGAGAACTTAAAATACTGATGAAGTTTAAAGACTTACTGCCTTTAGTATGGATTGCATGCACTTCATTGGGAAGAAAATAAAAATCCTTACAACTAGACTAATAAATAACATTATGAAAAATGGAGAAAAGATTGAAGTTGTGAAAGACTTCATTTTGCTTGGATCCACAATCAACACTCTTGGAAGCAGCAGTCAAGAAGTCAAATAATACGTTATATTATGCAAATTTGTTGCCACAGACCTCCTGTGTGGCACAGTAGGATCAGCCTGAACTGTGAACCACAGGGCAGCACTTCAAACCAATCAGCTGCTCCTTGGAAACCCTATCCAGGGTCACTATAAGTTTGAGGATATCAGTTTGAGAATTAAGGGGCACCTGACCCGAGCCATGGTATTTTTAATCACCTCATATGCATGTGATTGTTGGAAAATGAATAAAGAAGACTAAAGGAATCAATGCATTTGAACTATGGTGTTGGAGGAAAATATTAAAAGTACCATGAACTACCAGAAGAACAAACAAATCTTGTGTGGAGTAAGGACAGCCAGAAGGACTACCAGAATGATCCTTAGGATCCAGAACAGCAAGACTTTGTCTTTAATATTTCAAACATGTCGTAAGGAGGAGTTAGTCTGGTGTGGTGCTATAGAGTAAACACTAGAATGTTAACTGTAAGGTCAGTGCTTCAAACCCATTAGCCACTCCTCAAAAACCCTGTATAGGGTAGGTATCAATCAAAACCAACTTGGTGGCATTTAACAACAATTGTTGTTGTTGTTGTTGTAAGTGCCGTCGAGTCGGTTCCGACCCATAGCGACCCTGTACAGGGTTTCCGAGGGTGTAAATCTTTACGGGAGTAGAAAGCCTCATCTTTC